TATATATATATAGATGTTCATTTAAAAGAAATGGTCAAAGGCTATTATACGAGCCACCAATTACTCCTAACGTGTCTAACTATTCGGGTACTACCTTCTTAAGGTTCAGATCGCCAGAGGGGATTCAAACCCCCCCGACCTGATGGGTCTTATACCAAGGATGCCGACCATTGGGTATGTTTCATATATACATACATATATATATATATATATATATGATTTGTAATATAAGGGGCCCTTCAAATAATTTTCTTTTTTAATTTTGTAATTTTAATAATATTTTATTTATATCATATGATTGGCTATTTAGTTAAAATATGATTGTTTTAAAAATATTGGAATCTCTTAAATTTTTTATGTTGATTAAATATGTTGTTAAAAATAATAAATAAATAAATAAATAAATAACAAAAAACAAACTTGATCCCAAGCCAATTCGTAGGCGATTTAGCAATGTTAATTCTTTTTAATAAATCGAGCTCAAGATCTACTGCAAAATATTTCAGTCCAAGTGAAGAAATAAAAACAAAGAGTTATAATTTCCGTTCTTGTGTACAATCTCTAAAGCCCGGGAGATGATTTCTTCTTGTAGAGTGGAAGTTCAAAGAATACAATAAAATTTGAATCAGAAGTCAGAACCAATTTAAAATTGGAAGAGCCTTATCTATAACAGTAACAAATGGTGTTGTTTCAGCACACCACCTCACTCCAGGAATTTAATTTGAATTTCTTCTAGTGCCTGGTAGTGTTTCAGAGTCCTGCACGTGAATTAAAAGTTCAGTTTTATGCACGCATCAGATGCCTCATAACCTCTACTATATCTCTCGCTGGCGAACTTCAGCCTTCTGTTGCGGGTTTTGCACTTTTGCCTTGCATTAGCATAAAGCTTAAAAGCATTAGTGCTCTCCACTGATCTTTTCATCCAGTTCATTAAGCATTAGCAAACATGCCAGTACTCTTCCTATTCGTTGTTGCCCAGCAATGATCCACAGCGAATGACAGTAGGTTTATGGAAATAAATTGACTTTGGGTTAAATGACTAATGATCAGAAAAGAAAAATAGTTCACCAATATATAAAACAATAAGTTTTGTCACAACTTATATCACAACTTAAAAATGAAGGTTAGTTTGATTTTGTGATACAAAAAAGTTGTCTTAGAATTAGTCTGCAAATGTCTTGGATTTTAGATGAATGTTCTTCTAAACAATGTTTGAGTTCTTTAATCAATTTTTTTTTCCAAATCTGACGGATTCGGTGGGAGAATATTTCAATTTTACTCATAGAAGTATGTTTAATTTGGGCATTATAAACTTATTAGTTAGCCCGAGGATTCATTAAAAAGAAAGAATTTTAAAGAAGGACGAGTTCATAGAGAACAGAGAAAATGGGAACAAATGAATGCCTTCAATATTTGGGAAAACAGTTCCTTGCCCATCTGTTACTATTATTATTTATAGATAAATTGAGCATTAAAAAATTACGGGCAATAAATAATCCAATCTTCCAACCTAAAGAATATAAGAATATCAAGAGATATATAATATATCTCCTTTATCTCTTCCTCTAGTCCTGTCATGATAAATCATTCGCCTTATACCAATGAACATTTTTTCTTTTTTATGCATGCCCATTGTAAGAATCCCTCATAATGCTTCTTCATGGTAATTGTTCCCCACATAAATGCACTCTTCTGTGTTTCATTACGGTAATGCTTTCATCAATCTGTTGGGTAATGTGGAGACCCGGTTCACCACAATTTAATTAGTTTCCTAATTAAGAATCTACCGCTCACCTACCACACCCACCTACCACTTACCTATCACACCCACCTACCGCCCACCTATCTTTCACCTACCACTCTCCTAATTTCTATAAATAGCCTCTTATAGTTTGTCATAAGCTAAGCCACAAGCCAAACCAGACCAAGACTAATCCTCTAAGAGAGAAAGAGAGGAAGAGAAAGAGAGAGAAAGGGAGAGAACAAAATAGAAATTTTTTTGTAAACGTTGAGGCGCTCGGCGGTGTAATTCCTCGAAGAAATAAAGTCCTTTGCAGCTTTGTGGACGTAGACAAATTTATTGAACCACGTCAATCTGTGTCGCTCTGGTGTTTTTTCTACATGCAATTTTTCTCTCTCCATTTTTTCTTTATTGTCGTCATTTTTCACAACAACTGATAACAGTGACTTGGGTTCGAATCTATAGAAGAATGATAGACGGAGATGAAGTGATGACATCAGGGATTGAGAAATTCAATAGCATGAATTTTGCTTACTGGATGATGCAGATAGAGGACTACCTCTATGAAAAGAAACTCCATCTTCCGTTACTGGAAAAACGACTAGAAAAGATGGACGAGTCTGAATGGAATCTGTTGGATCGATAGGTTCTGGGGGTTATTCGATTAACTCTGTCAAGAACGGTTGCCCACAAAGTCATCAAGGAGAGGACTACTGCAGATCTCATGACGCCTTTATGAGATATGTATAAAAAGCCATCGACGAATGATAAGGTGCACTTGATGAAAAAGTTATTCAACTTGAAGATGACAAAATGTGTGTCGGTTGCTCTACACCTGGATGATTTCAATACTATCACAAATCAATTGTCATATGTTGAAATTGATTTTGATAATAAGATACGTGCGCTGATATTGTTGACTTCATTGCCAAATAGCTGAAATCCCACATACCGCTCACCAACCTTTCCACTAATCACTCACCTACCACACCCACCTACCGCTCACCTGCCTCTCACCTATCGCTCTCCTAGTTTCTATAAATAGCCTCTTATGGCTTGTCATAAGCTAAACCACCAGCCAAGCCAAACCAAGCCAAGTCCTCTAAGAGAGAAAGAGAGGAAGAGAAAGAAAGAGGAAAGGAGAGAAGAAAATAGAGATTTTCTTGTAAACGTCGAGGCGCTCGACGGTGTAATTCCTCGAAGAAATAAAATTCTATGCTCTGTTGAAGTAGGCAAATTTTTTGAACCACGTAAATCTGTGTGTTGCTGTGGTATTTTTTCTGCGTGCAATTTTTCTCGTTCCATTTTTTGATTTATTGTCGTCGTTTTTCACAACAACCAATGTGATACTAAGGTGAGTTTGTTATATGGACTTGACCTAGCTAGTTTTTCAAGCCAGTTGTTTGAGCTATCTTGACTGAGTTGCTTTGGTTAACCGCCTTGGACAAGTTGCTTTGATGATCCTCTTGGTTGAGTAACCCTACTAGGTTAACCAGATAGCTTACGTTACAGCTTGAACCTAATGCAAGAGTTTTAACTGTATTTATTTAGAATATTGATTCTTTTATCTATTTGTTAGTAAAGCTGCAAAAGGAACAA